CACATGAGATGGCATGAAGGACTTCTGTAGTGTTCATCAGGGTATCTGGTCCTTGCGTGTGACTTAAAGGACATCATCCAGTCGGTGTCTGAGCTGGAAGCCTGCTTGATGCTGCCCAGGAAAAGCACAGCATATCTCCTTTGGTAGCTTGCTCAGGCATGTGAAGGGCAGAATTTCTGGCGGTGGCTGGGAGGGTAGTTATGCCAGGTAATGTCTACCCAAATACAGGCAAGCAACCTGGTGAGAGATGTTTTAGTGTGCAATGATGAAGTGGTTACTACACTAATAAAGAATGTAACAGCTTTCCCCCTGAATTTAGAAGGGCTGGAAGCAGACAAGCTCAGTGTATCTGGCAGTTGCATGTGATGAGTTTGCAAAGGTAGGTTATGGGGTTGCCAGGCCACTGTTACGGCTTCAGTGTCCCTGGGACTCTGTTGATGCTCGTGCGAGTGACTGAACATCAGAGCCAGAGGCAGCTTCTAAATCAGTGGTGCTGTCCTTGCTCCAGCGTGGTGAACCTTGTGGCACTTGAGGAGCTCGTTTCACCGCTATTACAAAGACGTCTCTTGCACTAATGCAGAAGTGAACTGTAAATTAAGTACAGAATGGTGGCAGCCTGGGAGCCAGCTGTGCCATCTTCTTATTGCTCCCTGCCCTTTGGCAGTTCCCTCCTTCAGGGAGTGATGAGTTAGGAATGCTGTGACACTTCAGAAAGTGAAAGCAAGCACCAGGTCTGCGCAAACACTGCCCCTTAAAGAGTGTGGTCACAAGGGGCTTTAACAAAGCTGCTGAATTTCCTAGTGTGGGTGTTCCCTCAAGCAGGTATTAACAGAAGACCCAACACTATGTTGGGCAGCAATAGGGATATATCTGGTACGTGTGACTTACTTGGCATTAGGCTCAAGCACATGTGCTTTCTGAGACTCATACTTGTCTTGGGTAAAGCAAGTGGAAAAAAAAACTTCCTTTGGGAGGGAGAAAAAGAAAGTTGAAGCAAAGTCCATGGCTACATCAACTCTGTCAGATCAGAATAGTTGAAGCTGAACCTTCTTAGCCCTTTTTCTATGATGGAGATGATGATAGTCAACATGGTGGAGGTCCCACACAGTCTGTTGGCTTGAAGGGGGATGTGAGTAATGGAGGGAGACGAGGAGGGAAGAGAGGGAAGTAATCTGTTTTGCACCAGCGAACATGCAAATATTACGTTTTTCTGCCCCACATGTCTTCCATGTAGGAAACAGAGCCAGTGTGATGGCTAGGTCACACTTTGTGCTTCTCGTGCCCTGGCACAATGGTAGCGTTGCACAGCTGGGGACCCTAAAGATCTTGGGAAACATCTAATGGTGAGGAGGACCAGGTGGTGACCACCAAATGCTAGTGCCATTGTCATTTCTGTAAGAATATGAAAATCCAGGGGAGAGAAAACACAAGAGAAAGAGGAAGAACATCCTTAACTTTGCACACCAGAAACAGAGAGTGCTGCTTCTTACCTGGCCTGGAGCTGGGAGATGGCTCCCAAGAGATCTCCAGATCTGCAGATTTAACTCTCAGCAAAACCACTTGCACGCTCTCTAATGCTGGGTGACTCTCACTTGGAAAGCATCCCGTGCGCACGAGAGCTGCTTTCTGTGCGGGGAAGGGCAATGCTTCCTGTTTTTCTACAACATTGCTCCTTCCTCCCTCCTCTGGTTTCTCGGGCAGGCTGGCAGTCCTTATCGCCTCTGGGTGAAGTCTCTCCTTTGTTTGCTCTACTGTTTCACTAGACCAACTTTCTTAATTTTTTTTTTAATCTCTGCGTTTGTTCTCCAACTGCCACGTCGCCTGTATGTTCACAGGGCAAAGTGGCGTCAGGAGCTGTCAGGAGTGCAGGTGTGGGTTGCTTGTGACAGATCCCAGAAAAAAAAAAACAAACCTGTGGAATATGCAAGTTGGTTTTGTGGTTACACGAAGGGTAATGATCTGTTTCAAGGCATCTCGTCCTTACTTACTGCTGCAGAACAGACATTGTTTGGGCCATTTCCACTTCAGCACCCTTATAGTGGATATTATATGTGACAGTAGCGTTTGTGACTAAACTGAACAAAGTCAAACAGCTTCCTTTGCTTGATGGTGCTCTTGCATATTGATCTGCTAAGCTATGGGTAATGACCAATAAGTGATTCTCTGCAATGCAAGACTTAAAAGCTGATCTGTCCTTAACCACAAAATTGTGGTTTTAAGAGGCAACAGTATTAAAAGTTGACTTCCTCCCTCTTTCAGGGGAGGGTCTTGTGCCTTTAAAAAGCAAACCAAACACACAGAGAAAAAACCCCAAACAACAAAAGCCAACATCTATATATAATATGCAAAACCTACAGGGAACCATGCAGGCTGACATGATGTCACTGGCTTTCTCTGCCAGCCTTTCACACGCTCAGAGGCGCAGATGCTTTACAGCGGAGCTCTGTGGTTCCGCGTGTGATTGCACAGAGCTGTGCTCGGGGTCACGAGGCTGCCGCTGCTCCCCAGCCAGCCTGGCTCTGTGGGAGAAGTCTGCTCGTGGACTAGAAGTGGTTAGTTGGATGCAAAACCTTTCCTGTTGCCACGCTCGATGCTGTTGTTTTTTTGAAGTCCTTGCCAGGCAGGGCTGGGGGAGGTCTGCTGAATACGGTATCTATGTGAGAAGAAAAATAGCCTATTTAAATGTCAGCAGCTAAGCCCGAGTCCTGTGCGAGAGTGAGTGCGTGCATGCACTTGCGCAGTATGAGTATGACAAAAGATGAGCTTTAGAAATGAGGCCTCATTTTTAAATGTCTCGGAAAGTCTCAGCTGAGTGTAAGGCCCTTCCAAATGTACGCTGTCCATGCAAGCACAGCTGGGATGCTTACCCCAAAGGGCAGGGAAGGACCGTACCAGTAGAAAGCATCTTTGCACTGCATCTGCCATTGCATTATACTGAAGAACATTTGTTTGCTTTAAGACTAAGCCACATTACTTCAAATGCTGTTGCTATGGGCAGGCTGACAGAGAACAGAACCTCAGTGGGTAACCCTGGAGCACATCTCAGTGCAGTGGGAGTGTCCAGATGAATGGGTTAGACTCTGAATTGCTGGCATGGGAAAGCATGAGAAGTCCCCCTTTTTTGTCCATGGTAAACCTGCCAGCGGTAGAGCAAGACTAAATTGGCTTTAGGGATTTCTTGTGACTTCTCTGATTATCATCTGTTCCAGGATCAGGCTCCTCAGGTGGCCTTTTCCTCTGAACAACTGCATGCCTTCTGGCTGGGCTGGCAGGTGACAGATGTTTGCTAATCTCAATGTAGCTTGCAATTTATGTGCTTTTTTGTTTGGTTATTCTAGCATGCACAAACATGTTGAGTACTTGGATCACCTCAGCCTCCATATAAACCTTCAGCTAACTCCTGCTCTCCTAAACAAAATATGAGAGATTCCAGGGAAGAAGTGATGATTGGGATGCTGGCTTAGGGATTCCCATGTGAGCAGCTCTGCCGAGCTTAGCCAAAGGACAATATTGATGGTGGTCTGAGCTATCATAGAAACTCACCCTAAAGAGCAGCAGTCTATACTTTGGGTTCTTTCTATATCAGATACTTGTGTAGACAGCCTGGGTGGAACAGTGTTAATACCATAGCTTATCCACTGGCAGGTAAAATTGTAGCTGCTCTGTGATTAAGCTCATAAAGGATAAACCCACAAAATAGCCCTGGCTTCAGAAATGGCTCCAGAAGTCCTGCATTATCTGGGTGTTGTGCTGCAGCAAGTAACATTTGCAAGATTTGTGTGGATGTGTGGAGTATAGGATGTCAGCTACAGTCTGTAACAATTTATGAGTTCAGGAATTGCGTTAGTGCACTGTTACTGCCATCCCAGTGTAAAAGCAAGAACTTGCTGTTGCTGGTGTTTGCCCTTCAGAAATGAGTACTGCGTTCGAGCTTACCCAAATAAATTTGCTTCTCTGCAGGTAACATGGTGGAGTGGTGTTTACCCCAAGATATTGATTTGGAAGGTGTGGAATTCAAATCCATGGCAAGTGGGTCCCACAAAATCCAGTCAGATTTCATGTGAGTATGTCTTGAGTTATATTACTTCTTTCTCTGAGCTGTACATCTACACCACCATCCCTTAATTCAGAATGTGCATGAAGAATACCATCTATAAAGTTAAGTTCCTGCATAAACTCTATCTAGCTGAGCCAAAGATACTATCAACATCGTATCAAGTAGCAGCTAGCTGTGGGGATCTGCTGTATTGACAGCTCTGGCTGTGGAGGCCAGCTGGTCAATGGGGCAGGCCAGCTTCTCAGTGGTGTGCAAATTTCAGTGTGTTATTGGGCAAATCGTATGGCACTGCCACTATTGTGATTGTCAGCAGAGGCCTAGGGTGGAGGGGAAAGAATGGCAGAACTGAGATGGGAGGGATTTTGTGGGAACTAGAGTTAGAAAAATGTTCTTAATTCTGCCAGTGCTTTTGTATCCTTTAAATGATGTGATAAACAGTCCTTGCTCACTTTGTTCTTTGCTAGCTCCTTCCTTCAGTGGAAAGACATAAGCTGCGAATTTTCTGTGTTCCCATCCTTTTTCTAACCCAGTGTTGCAATGCAGCAATGTTTTGCAATAAACTGCAGTGTCACAATTCCTTTTGGTCAGGCATAACAGTTTCCTTCTCAAAGGCACGTGAACTGAACCCTTGCACTTGGCTAGAGTATGCTTCAGCATGGCACCCAAAATATGATTACTTAAGTAGCTAGACTATACTCAGAACTTCATGCACTGCAGGCTTTTCTTGGAAGAAGGGCACTGTGTTTACTGAGTCCTGCATCCTCTGTTGGTCTTCCCTCCAAGTTCTTTCCTTATTTGCATTCCTTACCAGCCTGTGATGTGGCTGGTAGGAGCTTTACTGGAAACTCCTGGGAACTCTTGCCTTAAATGTCATGTTTTGTTCCGGAGAAGACTAGGGTACCCAAGGCCTGTCCTCAGCCCTTCAGATAGCAGGGTGGGATTTCAGGGGGTTCCTTAAAGAAGGAACTGTGTTCCCAAATCAGTATTTTTAGCAGCCAGTTACCTTCTTTCTTCCCTTTCCTTCTTTTTAACATTAACCCTTCTGTCAAACATTTGTCTCCAGTTATTTCCGGAAAGGGCTCTGTTTCGGCCTGGCCTGCTTTGCCAACATGCCTGTGGAGAGCGAGTTAGAGCGTGGTGCCCGCATGAAGTCTGTGGGGATTCTCTCCCCTTCCTATACCCTGCTGTATAGGTACATGCACTTCTTGGAGAACCAGGTCAGGTAAGTTCCCTTGGGAATGGGACTAGCCACCTCCCACCCGGGAGAGGTAACACTGCCTCAGTGGAGAGCAGTTTTAGGTGTGAATGAGAATTTGGCTACAACTCTGAGCTATGATTTCCTTGAATAACTACTACTCCAGAAAGAATTACAGGTTCAGAATGGGAAGGAGACAAGGAACTGATCAGCAGCAGTCTGTTCATTGCTAACAGGGTAGTCAAATGCTATCCAAACCCTACTTATTTTGTGCGGACCTAAGTGTCAGGGGGAGAGTTGAAAGGACAAGAAGTTCCCATTTTCTCCCTCTGAAAACCATTTTGCTACGGGCTCACAAAAGGCTTCTAAAGCTACGATGGTGACCCTGGGTGTGTGTGTGCTTCAGCTGTGTTGAGTAGACCTGGTAGGGAAAATGGTGATGGTAGAAGGGAAAGCTGTTCCTACCTGAGCATATTTAAAACAGGATCAGTACTATGCATACATCAGCTTGCTGTCTGCTTCAGTCCTGCCCGTGTTCTCTGTCTGCACTTGAAGGTTGGTGTTACTCCTGATGCTTCGGCTGCCCTCCTGGATAAGTCTGTGCACCTGAGGCACCCAGGGCTCCTTTGCTAGCTGGGAAAGCAGATGCTGGCTGGGGGCAAAGCACTAAATAAGTAGAGTCTGGAGACACTACACATCTCCTCTTTTTCCCTTTCTTTTCCAGACACCAGCTGGAGATGCCAGGGCACTACTCCCATCTAGAGGCGTTCTATGATGACAAGAAAGGAGTTCTCCCTGATAGCAAGGGCACCCCCACCTCTCAGCAACCTGTCCACTGGCTGCCGTCCATCCACAGATACATGTACCCAGAGATGAAGGTGAGGCAGGTGCTCTGAGGCTTGAAGGAATGGGCAGTATGCTGCTGCTCCTTGCTGGTGTCTCATACTTCTTTATATAAGCAGTCACTTCAGTGCTTTGTAGGCTGCTGTAGATAAGATTTTGTTACTTTGACTGTTACAAGCTGCAGTTCTCTGTCATTGCTATGTGCTGGTCTTGCTCCCGCATTTAGACTTAGCATCTGTGCATGTGTCCCTGTGTCACCTCTGAGCTGTTTTTTTCCCTTTCCCTCCACCTGCAGATCACACACCCTGCTGGCTGTATGTCTCAGTTCATCAAATTCTTTGGTGAGCAGATCCTTGTCCTCTGGAAGTTTGCCCTGCTGCGCAAGCGCATATTGATATTTTCACCGCCCCCAGTTGGAGTTGTGTGCTATAGAGGTATGTTTCCAGGGACACCACAGAGCTCTGATCTAGTAGACTGAAGCATTGCAGAAATGCCTGAGGGTACTGAGGGGGTAAACATCCTGCAGGTCTTCAAAACCCATCAGAACCATTCCTTGTGAGGATATGGTTCAGCCTTCATTTATCCATTTCCTACAAAATGCTTTTCTTCAGGCCTTTTGGGTAAGGGTGTACCTGGCACTGTGAAACACAGTTCCTGTCAGCACAGGACAGTAAGAGTGCTGAATGAATTGGAATCTAGAACATGGGATTCCTATGGGAGAACTGATTATTTCCTGTCCAAAACAGGATGTCCCCACTTGAGAAGTTCTGGTGTTCAGGGGCATTTCAAAGCTCTAACCATTGTTTTCATAGAAGCGTGCAGGAGAACTGGGTAAGTGGGATTCAGAATACCCTTGAGGGAATACTGAAAGCATCTGAGGATGTACTTCTTTTGTCCACAGTGTATTGCTGCTGTTGCCTTGCCAATGTTTCTCTGCCTGGTCTTGGAGGAACTGTCCCAGAGTCCAAACCATTCTTCTATGTGAATGTGGCAGACATAGAAATGCTGGAGACAGAAGTATCATATGTGGCCTGTAAGTATGATGGATTAGGTGTGACATTTTTAACTTCAGGCTGCAAAATGTCTTAAGACACCAGACTGTAGAATAAAACTGATGAGAAATAGGATGTGCATGGAATGACTTAACTACAAAAGCACGAGAGAACAGCTGGTCTGGGAAAGCAACATGCTGCTCTGAAAATCCTCTTTGACAGGTACAACAGAAAAGATCTTTGAGGAAAAACGGGATCTCTATGATGTCTATGTGGACAACCAGAATGTGAAGACACATCATGAACATCTGCAACCACTCCTGAAAATTAACAATGCTGACAAGGAGAAGTACCGACGGCTCAATGACCAGAGGTAAAAATAGACATCTGGGTGGTCCTGGTCCTGATAAGAGAGCAGTGTGATGTGATATAAGAGGACACTGCTCCTTTGTACTTGTCTTGGTATTTTCCAAGTTTCCCACTGCTTCAGCTCATCTCTTTGAGATTCTAGCTCCACTATACTGATTGGTATGAGAGCCCCTTGGCTCTGGCACTCTGCACGCATGCAGTCACTGTGCCAGTGAGCTGATGGAGCAGATAGAAGGCAGGAAGAGAAGCAGAGGTTGTAACTCACCATTGGTTCACCACTGATCAGTAGCAGAACTGAAAACAGCCTGCTTTCTAGTCCAGTGCCTTATAAAGACTACCTTGTTGCCCCAGTTATTAGGGCAACAGCGTTAGTCCGATTGGTCTCCAAGAAATGTATGTGAAGCTTTTAGTTGTAATCCTTGTGTTCTTATAATGCTTTGAGGTTCACTGTAGGTATGTGCATTTAATCTGTCTCCCTTCTCTCAGGCAGATGTTAATGTATTCTCAAGAAGTGGGTGAGGATTGTAGCTCCTGTGAAGAGGATCTTTTCATCTTGTGAGTGTCCACCTCTAATACTTAGTTGGTCACTGTTAAGTTTAGGGAGCTTCTTTCGCTGATTTCATGTTGCACTGGTTTGGCATATTATGAAACATCATGGTTAATGTAATTCCATAGTCAGCTCTCTTCCTCTAGGGATCCAAGAACTAAACTGGCTCTTCCTCTTCTAATCATCTTCCTTTCAATTTGAGAAGCCAGATGCAGCCATAGTAGTCTCCACTGGGGTCTCTTAAGTGCTGGGAGGGAGAAGGGTGTTTTAAAACCACAATTAGGAATGCAAGAATCTCCTCCCATTTTATAAAACATAAGCACTATAGGACTTTTCATGCCAGAACATTTGGCTCAGGAGAGGACAATGTCCGTGGGAAGCAGGCACTGTACTGTGCTGAGGGAAGTACAGTGTGGAGATAAGACCTGCCTGTGAAGGATCAGCCCATTGATGTGGATCGCTTTGTACTTGGCAAACAGAGGAGCCAGAACTGGGGGTAGAGTGTGAGGTACGGAATTAGATGAAAACCACACCTCTACCACCTCTGAAGCCCTTCGCTGCCTGTTGCTATTGTTCAGTCTGCAGCAGGTGAGAAGTAATGGGATGAAACCGTGTGATGGGCTGTTGGGGCAGAGCTCTGATTGTTGCACAGATGTAGTCAGAGCTCTTTTTGAACAGCCTTGCATGTTCCTAGGAAAGTGCTAGGTAGGAAGGAGCTCTCACTTTTGGGTTCTGCTCCAGTAATGGAGACTTTATTTACCTAGTGGCTTACTAAATGGATGACAATACTTTTTCCTCCTTTGCATTATGGGAGCTGTAGGTCTGATGTACCCACTTGGTTACCGCAAAGTACACATTCTCTAAAGTAACAAGTGATAGGACAAGAGGAAATGGCCTCAAGTTGCACCAGGGGAGGTTTAGGCTGGATATTAGAAAAAATTTCTTTACTGAAAGAGTGGTCAGACATTGGAACAGGCTGCCCAGGGAAGTGGTGGAGTCACCATCCCCGGAGGTGTTCAAGAAACGTGTAGATGTGGTGCTTAGGGACATGGTTTAGTGAGTTAGGTGGTGTGGGTTGACGGTTGGACTTGATGATCCTTGAGGTCTTCTCCAACCTTAATGATTCTATGATTGGCTGATAACGCGGCTTGCTTTTGAAGAGTGAAATGCCTACTATAAATTGTCCAGCCAGTCAGAAGCACCACTGTAAATTAAAAGTTACTGCTTTAGCTTTGGTTATTCTGGGTCATCCATAGGGTGGATGGAAAACTGCTACAGCGTCACCTAAGAAGGTGGGATCGATGATTAAAGGGGGTTAAATGAAGTTCTGGGGCTCTGCTGCCTGTTTGGCAAATATGCTATCTTTTAGTGGGGTTCAATGCTGTCATCTCAGCTGACTTTATCCTATAGGTTTTTCATGGAGCAGAACAACCGCATATTTCAGACACTGATGGAGGTGTCAGCCAGCCAGGACAAGACACTGACAGCTGACCACGCACGAGGCATGGGCCTGGATCCCCAAGGGGATCGAAGCTTCCTTATGGACCTGCTGGAAGTGTACGGCATTGATGTTATGCTAGTTATTGACAACCCCTGCTGCACTTAAACCAAGGGCAAGAGAGATGGGGAGCAAAGATCACTTTTTAGAGACTGCCAGACATTGCTTAGGAGAATCACTGGAACTTCCCACAGCCACTGGATGGATCTCATTTTATTTAATAACTTTATATGGAGAGTATTTATAATTTTAAAACAAAATGTGATTTTATTTTCTCCCCTTCAACTTCCCAACTTCTGGAGTACCTGCTCCAGGTTTTTTGTTTGTTTGTTTTTGTCTCCCTTTCATTTGTGGTTTTTTTTTTGGTTTAGATAGGACCAGTGGCATCTTTGCACCTATCCTCACTGTTGCCAGTGATAGCTAGGTTTTGGCCTAGCCTGGATACCTGAGGGCTGAAGACTTCAGGAAAGCACTTTGTCTGATGGGGACCAATGTGAAATGCTGTAGCTGAGCTCTCAAGACTTGACTGGAAAACCCTCTTATCATCCCCTCTTGGGAACTGAAGAGAGCTTCAGCACAGGCTATTAGTGTCCCAGTTTCATAAAACATCTCCTGTCTTACCATGTTTATTGGTGGGGACAGTTAAACCAATGATAAAAAAAAACCCAGGACTCCTTTAAGCACCCTTCATCCAACTTTTAGCAGCTGAGTTGGAATAGAGCCACCCTTCTTTGTCAATAGCAGAAGCAAGTTTGGGATAAAGGGGTGCTACAGGATCTTAGGACTTTGCTTACCAGAGCAGCACAGTTTCACTTCCAGCATTTGAGGTGGTATAAATGGACAAAGACTACACCTACCTAGCTCATAGCTGGAGAAGAGTGCCATCTCTACGTAATCCCTCCTACCACTTCCTCTGGTTTTCAGTTACATCACACCTGCTGCTTTGGTTTAAAATCTTCAAACCAGCAAGACGGTCTCCCATTTAACAGGGACCAGCATCACTGAGCCACTTTGTAGTCACTATGTTCTCCAGCCTCAGCTCAGATGGTGCTAGGCTGGACTGGGCTGAATAAGTATGCTTTAACTATTGTCACTGCCCCTTCCTTTGTAGCAGATGGTACTTGTCACTCCTTTGCTTTAACATTGTCTGCTGATCCTCCTTTTGTTGAGCAGCTTTCAGCACTGCCTGCCACTGGCCTTTGGCTTTCAGCGTGAGACAGAGAGCAGTATGTGACCTTTCAGCTGGAACAGCTTTGCAGTTTACAGGAGGTTCCCCTGGATTTTGGTGTTCTTAACTGGCATGGCTACTAGAACAATGTCTAACAGCAGGCCTTTTTTTTGACCTGGGCAGAGAAGCTGTAGAACTAGATGAAGTGTGTTTCTTCTGCTGTGGAAAGAATAGGATTCAGTTCATGTGGGACCAGTGGTTACCTCCAGGAAGGCTATCCCAGTAAAGAGTAATCCCTTCACTATGAGAAATCCAAGAATGGTACTATGGGTTCTAGGTGTGACATACTGCTTTGCTCAAAATCCTTCAGTCAGTAGTAGCACCAGCTTTAAGCTAACTGTTCTTCCTGAACTGTGGCTATATATTATTAGCTGCTGCTTCTACCGTAAGAGACTTCAGCACCCTTGGAGCCTTTCTGCAGTTTGTAGAAATGCAAACTGTAGCTGATGTATCTATTTATCCTAGCATTTTATAGGATGAGACAGGGCCTGAACCACCAAAGTCTCACCCACTAATTCTTTTTTAAATAGGTGAAGCAAATAAAAGTAAACTCCCCATGAATTGTCTCCCTCTGGAGGAGGGAAGTAGGCTGGCATGTTCTGTTTTTCCTTGAAGGCTATCTGCAGCAAAGGGATAGTTTTGATAGAGAGGTTTTAGTGAGGTGTGGGATCAGGGGCCTCATGAGGCTTATCACACAGTTCATTGGTATGAGCTTCGGTGTATTATGTTCCTATGATGTGCCTGTCTCTGAGCAGTCACTCTCCTGCCTGCTTTTTCAGGGCTTTGGATATTTTTGTACAGCAGAAAACATGCTGCTGCTTGTATTGCTGGTTGCTCACAACTGTAATGTGATCATCCTTAGAAGGTTGGGGAAAAAAATAAGAGGAGGAAAAAAACAGAGCTGAATATCATTTAATGCAAGAACCAGTCTCCTTTCCTTAAGAAAATGCTTTTTTAAAATTGATGCCTCTACTATAAAAGTGACCCACAATCTCCATGCTTTTTTTTCTAACTTCCACTTCAGTTTTAACATGCTGTCTGCAGTGAAGATCCCTGAGGAAGCATAGCTTGTACTGTATTGCTATCACTCCACTTCCTTCAGACAGAAAAAAAAGGAACTGAAACTAGTCTCTAGCAATTCTTCCTCTCACTTTCTTGAAGGCTTGCTACATAGTTCAACTGTGGTCAGCTGTTAATGACTTTATATTCTCTTTGATGTCAGTAGTTCTTTTGCTGAACTAAACAGAAAACAAATCTTGAATTTGTCATAGCAGTTTTACAGCTTCTGTGTAACACCCTGCATTGGAGCGCTGTGTTCACAAGCTGTCAGAACATCAGGTCTGCTACACAGCACTGCTAGAGCCCACTGAGCAGAATCTCCTGAAATAACGAGTTGACATTTATAAAACCTCTGCTTTCCAGAAACTAGGTCTTCAGTTCCTAGCAGTAGTTAGTGTAGGTGCAGAAGCATCAAAGCAAGCAAATTACTGTAAAAGTAGCATCCATGCTTCATCCCAGATGGATGGCTACAGCCTATTTTGCTCTTGTAATTTTGCTTCGCTCTGCCTCTCTTGGCAGGTGACTGCTACAAGACAGAAAACAGAACAAAGGGACTTCTCTATCCTACCATTTCTTTCTCAGATTTACTGAAAAATAACTTTCCACCTGCACTCCCCTTTTCTAATAGACATTGCTTTTATTGTCACAGGTGGAAAAATCCTTGATAAATGGGTATATAATATAAACAAATAGCTACAGTTTTGGCCATGAGTAGGCTGGTTTTGTTTGGAACCAACTCCACTGAATTTTGTCTTTCTGTGAGATAACAATTCAAGGTAAAACACTGAAGTGCATACATTTAAAATCCCCTCCTTAACCCTTAATATCTACTTTTCTGAATACTAGCAGCTGGAAAGGAGACAGTTACTTGGTGTACTTTGAATTAAAAGAGGGAGGAAAGTGTACCATAAGGTAGGATATTGCTGATTACTATAAAAATCCTCTTCTCCATTTGAAGTACTTTGCCTTTACAGTGGTGCCTTCAATTTCTTTGGTGTGATTTCTCCAGTCAGTTGCTTGTGGTCAGAGCCCAGGTTGAATGGTGGTTACAGTAACCATGTATCCTGTGCCCTGGTAGACAGAGTCTGGTATGTTCCTCTCTAACACCCAGGTCATAGCACAGCCATTGCAGGTTCTCAGTTGGTACTTGCTTGATTTTAAACAGGAGAGTAGGAGCTTTATAGTTGCATCTTAACTCAAGTTGCACTAGAAATGTATAATCAAGTAATGAATTATTATGACTTGTACTATCTTGCTTGGACGGTAAAGCTTGGGAGAGAAATAAAGGCTAAGTTTTTAATCTGAACAAGGGATACCATGCCAGACACTTAAAGCATACAGAACTCTTCTCACTGCCAGAATAGTCCAAGCTGCGTAGAGCCAAGTACAAGTAAGACCTATAACGGATACTAGGAGAAAAGCGTTTTGCTGAATTAGAGTTCAGATTTGTCTTAACCTTCTTTTCTAGCATCACAATTTCAAGGGAAAGTAGCTTCCTGTGCAGCTTATTCTGTAGAGCAGTGCTACTGTAATGCTTTCCATTTTAAGAACTGCCAAATTTAACAGGCAAAAAACAAGGAGTAGCTGTGGCCCTTGTGGTGACAGATTATGCAAAGGACTGGCATGGTTTGCTCTGGGAGGGGGAAGGGCAAGAGCACTCTGTCCTAATCCAAAAGTCTAGGTACAAAACATGCATACTAACCCAATTCTCTCATTGTAGCTATCACTTCTAAGTTAGTTGCTGTCTCCTTTCTGCCCCTCTCCCCAAGCTAGCAATTTAGTGATTATGGGAGAAGATAACACATATGTCTTTTGCAAGGGACTGGAATATACTGACTTAACAGAATTATATGTCTGCCTAAAATGGAGTACTGAATGCCTATGAACCAGGATTTCAGGTCCTAGTTCATGCAACATACCATTTGAATGGGAATGTTTAATCACAGTTAAAATAAATGGGTGCCTTGGGCTGGTCCAGCATTAGGTTGTTATCCTTCCTTTTTATTTATGTTATAGTATTTTAAGCCCTGCTACACTGGACTGTAAGTTGAAGCCAGGATAAGTGTTTTCATGGGTGGGACCTAGGATTCTACTCCTGCTTCCTGTCTTGGGAGTTCATACAAAGACAGTTGTTTGTCTTGCTGTCAGGCAGAAACATGAGAACTGAGTCCTTTTCTCAACACTAGAGAGCAGGTTCAGCCCTTGCTTATTTTATGTAATGTTTTCCTCACACCTCCCCTCTGAATGTTGCAATTCAGAGGTCTAGAGCCACTCCATACTGGAAGACCTCAGAGTTGTAGAAGAAGGGGAAAAATTACTTGAATGGTATTTATACAAGCTACTCAACTTACACTGATATGAGTATTTAAATATCAACCCATGTCTCAAGATGATCCTTAGTACTTTAACATCAGAGCAGCATCAACAATACCAATTCTGAAGGGAGCTCTAGGCTACCCTCAAGCCAAGGAATCCCATTGCAATGGGAGCTGTGCGTCTGATACTATGGAAGAGAATTAGTCACTTTCCCTGTAAAATGATACACATGATCCAGAAGCTAGTTCTTGTCACCTCTCCCCTTGCAGCAGGCTGGTTGTAGTTCTAGCAGCTCTGATGTTGTTTGCATCTTGCAGATGTGTGGTTGTTCCTATAGGCCTGTGGCTCTGTGGAGAAAGTGCTTACTAAAACATAGGTATTTTAAAAATACAATTAAAGCTTACCTTTTTGAAACGGCTGCTGCCTTGTCTTTCCTGCCACTTGCCCAAAAGCATTGCTAATTTTATTACAGAAGCATCAGCTTGATGAAAAACTCAATGGCCGA